TATCACGGGTGAGATACATATCTAGAAACAATTTTTGGATTCCGTATAATAATTTTTTTCGATAACTATAGATGATTTTTAAACAAAAACTATATTGATTTTGTTCGCATATCATAGTATCCTATGTACAACGCGGATAACTATCTAGTATATGTTTACACGCAAATGATTTAGAATGAACTAATACTATTATACAATTACAAATTAGGTCTACTCGAATATTCCATATGGATATAACTAACATTAGTATCAGAAACGTAGACCAAGAAAAGCATTTGCTTAAATAAATGTTTATTTCCCATGTTTTGAACTTTTGACCTCGTAATGGTCCTAAAGTAAGTATCAAGAGCTGTTTAGGCTTTTAATGACTGCGAAAGGCCACATAAAAACCTGCTTTTTTTTATTAGATTAATTTAACCCATCTCTGATCGATTAAGTAATCATATCTTATGGGAGCCCTAATCAGATTCCTGTTCTTTTGGATCTATCGTCAAATTATTGTATTTATTTACACAAACACATTATAGAATCGTGGAAATAGTTAAAATATTACTGAAGATTTGAAATAGATCAAACCGCCATCGAGAACGCCAATTTTCTCTAGATTTAAGTTTCCTAGTAGGTCTTCCTATTTGAAGTAAAATTCTTAGTCAAATTTATTTCAATTTGACACAAAATTAAATAATATATATCCCCATTTGGGAAAGGTTGTAGAAATAGGTCAGATAACCCATAAGGCCAAATGAAATGAACCCTCATATTAAATAGCAATAAAATCTGACTGTCTACAGATTTTATGCTTAAGCGGGTTATAGAAACAAAAATTTGTATTTACAAAACTAAAGGTACAAATAAAAGCTGATACAGTCTACGAGAAGGAGCCCAACGTGCACATTTGTATTACTAATCAAGCAACAAGAGGATAAAGTTTTAACTTGAAAAATTAAAAGATATATAATTGCATCAATATTCACGCAACAAGAGTATAAAGTTTTAACTTGAAAAGATATATAATCATATTTATAAAGAAGATTATGCTCTTGAGATTCCGGCATATTCTTCCCATGCATAAGCCCATATAAATAATGTCTTCCGAGTTCCGGGTCTTTTTGTATGCCTTTAGATATTTTAAAACATCTTATTTTTTTTGATTTTTTTTGCTAAACAGACGTCTTATTTTTTCCCTAATGTCTTTGTGTATCTTATAACTTATAATATATACAAACGTGGCCGACAAATACAGATATTACTAAGAAATTAATGTATCTGAGTTTGCAACTGATGACATTGAGTTTTTGGTGGCTACAGTTTTTAAAAAATATTTTGATATCAACAATCTTGATTCTCTGGACGACTGTATATATACGATACATAAAAAAAAATTA